CTATTGAGCCACGGCGCCGGCTTGCTTTCACTTTTTGAAAAGGCTTCTAGAATGAGCAGGTGGACCGCGGTCTCCAGGAACGGTGGTGTCTTAGGCTTCCTGTGCTTTTTCCTTTGGGGCCTCTGAGCAGTGGCGACAGGACAATCCCTGTCACATTTGGCCTTGGGCTGGGTCAGAGGCAGCTGTTGGGAGGCCTCAGGGGTCCAGGCTGGAGAAGTGGGTGCTGTTCTGGACACAGGCCTGGGGGGAGTCCGCATGTGACCTTTCTTTATCACAGAACAAAACAACTGACCGAGAAAGATGCCCAGGGAGCACAGACGCACGTGAAGCCGGTCCTGTGGCCCCCCGGGGCACCTTGCACAGGGGCAAGCTTCCAACAAGGCGGCCTGGGGCAGACCCTCCCCCATCTGGAACTGAGGCGGGGCACAGCACCGAGAACAGAGAGGAGAGGGCAAAAACGCCTAGGAGAGCGTGATCTTGTCCCCGACGAGCAGAGTACCGGTCGCCCATTGTGCCAGACCCACCTCCCTTCAGAAGAGTCTCGGTTGTTCATGATTGTGACGTCACGGACGTCACTGACGTCAATGAGGCGTCCCACACGAACCGCTTGTTCCCGGCGTCAGTGCGTGTAGATCTCCTCGGTAATCTTTGCGGACGTTCAGGTTCAGGCCGTCCCGGGGTGTAGCCTACTGCCCCGTCGCACTTGCTGGCCCCTGTGTCCTCGGAAGGTTGACAGCCAGCGGGCTGTGTGCGGTCCTCTCACACAGCTGCTGCTGCAGGAGGAGGAGGCTGGACGGGGCCGGGAACCGTTTGTAGTGGATGCTGTGCACGGCTCCATGCTCTCAGGCGCTAGCCCCGAGTCCTCTGGCCCTCCAGGCTATGCAAGAGATGAGGGCTGTGAGGCCCTAGGAGCAGTGGACCCGCTTCTTATGCTTCCATCGCAAGCGTCTTGAAGTGCAGGGCCTTGAAGGTGAAGTGTGCATCTGCCGTGCCTGTGGTCCTCACGCGGGGCAGAAGCACACCCACTCGGCGGCCCCGCGCGGCAGGTGGTTCAGGTGGGCGGTGGTCAGCTCGGAGCCTCCGGATGCCGCGGGACAGGTCAGGTGGGAGAGCACCCCGCTCCTCGGCGGTGCCTGACAGTGCCAACAGCTAGCTGCCTGGCCTCGTCCTGGGAGGGGCCCCACGCCCATCGTCTGCAGGTTGTCCGAGGGCTGGACAGTGGCCACGGTGGACTGGACGGTGTTGCTGTAGACCACTGCCCAGGGCGGCTGCCATTCCTCCTCCAAGTAGCCCGCCTCATGGGGATCTTCCGTGACTCCTCAGCACCCCAGCAACAACAACTTCCCCTCCCGCCATGCCTTCTCCTCGTCCTCCCCCAAGTTCCTGTGGATCAGGTCGGAGCATTCACAGCACAGCCCAGCCCAGCCCCCACACGGCCATGGCCTGCCCAGACCCACCTGACCCACCTGACTACTCCCCCCAGCTCTCAGCGCAAGCCTCTGTGCGCCTTGATGCCAGTGAACCACACATTTGCTATCCCATGAATCCTCCAACTTTTCCTACTTTTTTGTTGTCTGATTGTGTTTTTTTTTCTTTTTCTTTTTTTTTTTTTTTTTTTGACAGAGTGGACAGTGAGAGAGAGAGACAGAGAGAAAGGTCTTCCTTTGCCGTTGGTTCACCCTCCAATGGCTGCCGTGGCCGGTGCGCCGCGCTGATCCAAAGGCAGGAGCCAGGTGCTTCTCCTGGTCTCCCTTGGGGTGCAGGGCCCAAGTACTTGGGCCATCCCCCACTGCACTCCCAGGCCATAGCAGAGAGCTGGCCTAGAAGAAGGGCAACCGGGACAGAATCCGGCGCCCCGACCGGGACTAGAACCCAGTGTGCCGGCGCCGCTAGGTGGAGGATTAGCCTGTTGAGCTGCGGGTGCTGGCTGATTGTGTTTTCAAATAGTGTCTTCAAGTTCAGATTCTTTCTGCTATTTGATCAGTTCTGCTCTTGATACCCTCAATTGCATTTTTCATTGCCTTTGTTGTTTTTCAGTGTCATTTTAAAAAGAATTTATTTATTTATTTGAAAGTCAGAGTTACAGAAAGAGAGACAGAGAGATCTTCTGTCTGCTGGCTCATGCCCCAGGTGGCTGCAATGGCCAGGGCTGAGCCAGGCTGAAGCCAGGAGACAAGAGCTTCCTCGGGGTGGCAGGAGCCCAAACGCTTGGGCTATCTTCTGCTGCTTTTCCTAGGCCGCTATCAGGGGAGTTGGATCAGAGGTGGAGAAGCCAGGACATGAACCGGTGCCTGGATAACAGGCCAGCGTCCCAGGCGGCAGCTTAACACATTTCACCAAAACACCGAACCCCAGTGTCAGAATTTTTTATGGTTTCAATCTTGCTGCTAACTTTGTTATTTTAGTCATTTATTGTTTTCCTGATTTCACTGAATTGTTTCTCTGTATTTTCTTCAGGTTTGCAGAGCTTCCTGAAAACAGTTATTTTGATTTCTTTGTCGAGCAGTTCATATACCTCCATTTTGGGTGTGTCAGTTGAGGGTACAATCAACCCTGCTGCCGTGTTGTTGGCAGTGTGCAAGGTGTGGATGCTTGTGAAGCACGGGGCAGCCGAGCGTGGGAACCCAGGCGTTAGCAGCGTTGCAATGGTTGCCGGACTGGGGCCTGTTTGTCTAGCTGAGCCAGGCCTTCGGTGCAGGCCCAGGTAGTGAAGTCTTGGCTCTGGGATTCTGAACAAGATCACTGCTGAGCCCTGGGGAGGCCCAGTGTAGTCTGGAGATGAGAGTACTCGGAACACAGCTGGGGCTCTGGGGCAGGGAACGCAGGAAGTTGGGAGATTTGGTCGTTCCTTTATTGAAGTGGCTCTATAGGGGTCACTTCTTGGAAGGGAAAGAAGTGTGCACTGGTATCTCCTCTGGGTTTCTCTAGCGGAGATAGCTGTTGATGATCTCAGTGGCAGGGCCAGTGCTATGGCACTGGGTAAGCCACAGCCTGCTGAGCTGGCATAGCATTTGAGTGCTGGTTGGAGTCTTGGCTGCTCCACTTCTAATCCAGCTCCTTGCTAATGCACCTGGGAAAGCAGTGGAAGATGGCCCAAGTGCCTGGGCACCTGCATCCACATGGGAGGCCTGGAAAAAGCTCCTGGCTCCTGGTTTCGGATTGGTTCAGCTCTGGCTGTTGTGGCCATCTGGGGAGTGAACCAACAGATGGGAGATTTCTTTCTCTCCGTCTCTCTCTCTCTGTAACTCTGCCTTTCAAGTAGATGAAATAAATCTAACAACAACAGCAAAAAAGATTGTCAGTGGCAAGGTTTGTTGGTATTCTCTGTAGAGCTGATCACTTGGTACCACCATGGTTCCTGCTACGTTGCTGGTACTGATGGCTCCCACCTCTCTTTTCCCACTTGTCTCCTGACATCTTAGGTATGCTCATCTTACCGGTGGTCCTTCCTATGTGGCTATGAACTTCTGCGCCAGGCATCTGAGTCTGTGGTCCACCTTGTGTCTTTTAGGAGCAGTACCGACTGCTTTCCTCATCCCAGTTCTGGGATGGACAAGACAGAGACGAGAGCTTTGCATCCATCCTTCCTGTGGTCCTCAGATAGGTTAGAAGGGATGTTCATAGTCATTTTCTCTTGACGACGAGTCATTGCTCTCGTCTCACTGGTTCGAGGAAGGAACCTGGGCACTGGGCTGGCAGTTGTTCCTCTAGGGTCAAGACATCCACCACACTGGCTAGAGGGTTGGGGAAGGGAAAGTAGAACACCACACAATCTTCCTATCATTTTGAAGATTTTTTAAAAATTATTTGTTCAAGAAGCAGAGATCTATAGACAGAGTTCCCTGGCCTGCAATGGCTGAGAGCTGGGATCTCAATCCAGGTCTCCCATGTGGGTGGCAGGAACCCAGTCACTGGAGCCACCACCTGCTGCCTTCCAGGATCTGCAATGGGAGGAAGCTGAAGCTGGGAGCCAGAGATGCATATCCAATTCCTGCACTCCAGAATGGGATGTAGGTACCTTAGGTAGCTAGGCCAAACGCAGGCCTTAAAGATGGCTTTTTCTTGATTGTGTGTTTGCTTGGTTTCTGGCTTTGGTTCAACAGTTCTGTTTTTTTTTTTTTTTTTTTTTTTTTTTTTTTGAATGTTTCTGTGGGAAAACAAGAGTTGGAGCTTCCTAGTCCCCCATTCCCCACCCCCACCTCTCCTATTCGGCCCCATCTTTCCATCACCTGATCTTGCAGCTGATGCACCGTTCCTTCTGTCACACCCACTAACCCTGGAACGGTGTGGGAGGGCACTGCACATGGCGTGACTGTCAGGAGGTGGGGCTCCGTGGGGGCCGTTTTAGAGGCTGCTTTATCACACAACAGTACCAGAAATTTCCCCCTGAAAGGTCTTGGTTGATGGCAGACAATTTTTTTTTTTTTTTTTGACAGGCAGAGTTAGTGAGAGAGAGAGACAGAAGGAAAGGTCTTCCTTTCGTTGGTTCACCCCCCAAATGGCCGCTGTGGCCAGCGCTGATCTGAAGCCAGGAGCCAGGTGCTTCCTCCTGGCCTCCCACGCGGGTGCAGGGCCCAAGAACTTGGGCCATCCTCCACTGGCTTCCCGGGCCACAGGAGAGAGCTGGCCTGGAAGAGGGGCAACCGGGACAGAATCCGGCGCCTCAACTGGATCTAGAACCCCGGGGTGCTGGCGCTGCAGGCAGAGGATTAGCCAAATGAGCCATGGCGCTGGCCAATGGCAGAGAATCTTATCCGTTAAAGCTAGAGTTTTCACTTGGAGAACTTGGAGGGCTGGGATTTAGCTCAGAGAACAATGATCACTGTGCTGGATTTAGAGCAATGAGTGAGACACAGCTTCTGCCCTTGGGGAGCTCACAGACACCAGAACAGATCATTTCAAAGCAGCATGGCTGTGTTCAAGACAAGAGGTTGACATGGGGTGGGGGGGACGGGGGGAGGGCACGGGAATCCCGGGGGGTGGGGGGCAACTCATCTCAACCTCAGGGAGGGGACTGCTCCCATGCAAGAAGACACCGGACCAGAGCTTTGAAAGATCTGAGCTGGGGTAAGGGTAGGGGTGGCGGTGGGGAGCCGTGATTGCACTGGGAAGCCTTCGAGGCAGAAGGAGCTGTGGGAGGGTGGGTTGGAAGCCAGTTAGAGATGCAGGATCATACATACCAAGTCAACAGTCCGTACAGTGAAGTTCAAAAGTAAAAACTACAAAATGGATCATTCATGTTTTTGATCAAAGCATGCACAGGGTGCTGTGGGGGATCCTCAGAGCCCCGGGAGGAGGCAGGGGAGTCCCGTGGCTGAGCTCACTGGGCTAACTAAGGCTTCTGAAGGCGCGGCTGGAAGCTGGTGGAGGCCATCTCCTGCAGAATGGAGTGCAGGTGTAAGGCGCAGAGGTTGAGAGAATGCGGCGTTGCCAGAGGGGAGCAGCCAGGCAGTTGAGGACACGTGGAAAGGACATCGCTTGGAGGAGCGGCCGCACAGTGGAGGTGATGGGTTGCTGGCAGCACTCACCAGCTCTTCAATCCTAAGGGCTTGAACTGTGTTCTGAATGGGGAACAGGACTGCCAGTGAGGAACTTATACACCCACCTGTTCACATAGGGTGTAGGGGACTGGGCTCTTTATAGACCTTTACATAATAATGAATATATAAAATACTTAAAATATTTTAAATTTTATTTGTTTATTTGAAAGGCAGAGTGATGGAGAGAGAGAGAGAGAGAGAGAGAGAGAGAGAGAGAGAGAGAATCTTTATCTGCTCACTCTCCCACCAAATGGCCACAAGAGCTGGGACTAGGCCCAAGTCGGGAGCTGGGAAGTTCATAGGGTCTCTCACGTGGGTGGCAGGGGCCCAGGTATTTGGGCCATTATCCACTGCTTTCCCAGGTGCAGTAAGCAAGAAGCTGAACTGGGAGCTGAGCAGCCGGAACTTGAACTGGTGTACTGATAGAGCATGCTGGTGTCACCAAGCAGCATCCTAACCCGCTGTGCCACAACACTGGCCCCAAAATATTTCAAATTTAAACATAGAAATTTCTCCTTATCATAGCAACTCGTGTTCATTATGGAAAGCTGGAAAATGCCTAGAGAACAAAATGGAGGAAAATCCCTCAATCTCAGTACCTGATAGAACTGTTTGTTGCTATTTCAGCAACTGTTTCCCAAATACATATATTTAAGAAACCAGCAATTTGTATTTTTTAAAATTTATTTGACAGGTAGAGATAAAGATAGTGAGAGAGATAGAGAGAAAGGTCTTCCTTTCCCATTGCTTCACCCCCCCCCCCCAAATGGCCACCACGGCCAGCGCACTGTGGCCAGTGTGCTGCGCTGATCTGAAGCCAGGAGCCAGGTGCTTCCTCCTGGTCTCCCATGTGGGTGCAGGGCCCAAGCACTTGGGCCATCCTCCACTGCCCTCCTGGGCCACAGCAGAGAGCTGGACTGGAAGAGGACCAACTGGGACAGAATCTGGCATCCACACCGGGACCAGAACCTGGGGTGCTGGCGCCACAGGCAGAGTAAAGATTAACCAAGTGAACCACTGCACCGGCCCTCCAGCAATTTGTATTTTGAAATTCATATATTGTTTAAGGGTTTTTTTGAAAGTCAGAGTTATAGATAGAGAGGGAGACACACAGAGAGAGAGAGAGAGATCTTTCATACTCTTGTTCACTCCCCAGATGGCCAGTATCTTCTTCTGGGTCTCCCATGTGGGTGGCCAGGGCCCAAACACTTGGGCCATCTTCTGCTGTTTTCCGCAGGCCATTAGCAGGGAGCTGGACCGGAAGTGGTACAGCAGGGACACGAACTGGTGCCCATATTGGATGCTGGCATTGCAGGCCATGGCTTTACCTGCTATGCTACAATTCCAGCCCCATGAAATGCATGTTTTATAACCTAATTCTTAATTGAACACTTGATTGACATGTAAATTTGAAAAACTTAGTTAAATGTTTACATAATTTTCTTGGTTTTAGAATATACACATTTTAAATCCTTTTGTTATGTGTTGTCAGATTACTTCTGAAAAGCGGCCTGTCAGTGGTGCTGTTGGTATTTTGTAATGCTCATCCTTCCTGTTATTTTTAACAAGTCACGTCTATCTAGCACTAACGGGAGACTGTGAGAGCCCCCTAGTGGCCAAACTAATTTCTGCACAAAATACTATCTTCAGTGGAATTGAAATCTAGTTCCTAAATCTAAATGGCAAAGAGAGAGGGTGACTAGATAATTCTAATCTTAGCAGTTAAAAATGCCTTGATTAGAGAAGAGATGTTATTCTCTTTCCTTTCAAATTCTTTATGTGCTGCTGGATTTTGATATATTTTGAAGTTCACTGCTGTGTAATATAAAGGTTAAGAGTCTATTCCCAATCAGGTTTACAACCAAGTGCATTATTATTTTTGATGTGGAAGCTAATAATTACTGAATACTCATTATGTTTTGGATGCTCCTCCAAGCATTTTACATACAGCAGCACATGAAATTCTCACCACCATCACGAAGTGAGTGCTATTGCTAATGCCATTTTACTGGCAGGAAATAGAACATTAGTTGTTAACATGATTATTTAACAAAAAAAGGCTACATGACACAATCAGTAAGAGATCAGTCAGGATCCCAGCCCAGTGCTCTTAACCACCCTGTTCTAGCATTATTCTAGACCTTGGAGTTCAAGAATGTTCCCACTCAAGGTAACTTAACAAAATGGAACTTTGATTTATGTAAGAAACAAAAAGCAAAAACAATAGGTATGGTGGAGACAGAAGCGTCTTTTCTGGACATTTTTTTTAAAGGAAACTCTATTATTGATAATTCAAATTATGCTTTTAAAATTATGTATTAATTGAATGAGAGGACACCTAATTGATTTGATCATTTTATAATTCATGTTTTCAGTAAAAGTTAAAATTTGACCTGTTATTTCCATGTTTTAGGTAGCAAAATGGAAACATATACTCTTAATTTCTGAGCTTGGGGGCCAGTGCTGTGGTGTAGTAGGCCAAGCCTCTGCCTGTGGTGCCCGCATCCCATAAGGGCACTGGTTCTAGTCCAGGCTGCTCCACTTCTGATCCAGCTCCCTGCTAATAGCTTGGGAAAACAGAAGATGGCCCAAGTACTGGGGCCCCTGCACCCATGTGGGAATCCTGGAAGAAGTTCCTGGCTCCTGGCTTTGGATAGGCCCAGTTCTGGCCATTGTGGCTATTTGGGAAGTAAACCAGTGGATGGAAGACTTTTTTCTCTGCCTCCCTCTGTCTGTAACTCTACCTCTCAAGAAAATAAATAAAATCTTTGGAAAAAAAATAATTTCTGATATAAAGAATTTTAGCTTTAAAAATTAAAAAAAATTAAAAAAAAGAATTTTAGCTTTATATTTAGGTTATTTCTTAGTTTTCCTTCCGGTACTGACATACTTGAGGCAGGTGTTTGGTCTAGCAGTTAAGTTGCTGGTTGGGATGCCTGCATTCTATTTTGGAGTGCTGGGTTTGATGTCTGGCCCTGGCTTCTGGTTCCAGCTTCCTGCTAATGTTGACCTTGGGAGGCGGTGGTGAAGGTTCAAATAGTCGGCTCCCTGCCATTCATATGGGAAAGCTGGATGGAGCTCCTGGCTCCCAGCTTTAGCTACCAGCCATTGCAGATATTTGGGGAGTGAACCAATGGAAGAGAACTCTCTGCTGGCCTTTTTCTCTCTCTGCCTCTCAAATAAATACATTACAAATTTACACATTTTATTATTATTACAGTTTTAGAAAATGTGATCTCCAGTTTGGGCTACAACTGAGATGTAGTCTTCAGGAAGCATCATCATACTATAAAGGTTGAACTAGACATGCTGTCATCCAGTGTGTCCTGAGACCTCTGGTAGAGAAGCAGATAAATAGAATTGAGTGTCCAAAGACAGAAAACACCAAGAGGACCAAAAACTCCAGGTATTTCATTGTTTTCACTACATTCACTACATGAAATGCTCTGAAGGAATGGTATCAGGGCTGTGTGCGGAAGGTAAGAAGTGGGATTCTGAAAAGGCAATTTCTTTTCCCTGTAGCTGTTTTTTGGAGCTCCAGATGGAAGTCACTGTGACGGTGCTGCTCTTTGATGGAGCTATGCCGCTTGAGGTAATCAGAGATTTTCTGCAGAGGAACTGGGAGGTACAACCCCTGCTATTGGAGAAGGCTGCACTTTACAAGGAACAGGAAGTGGATTCCTGTGGCCACCAAGGACTATGCCCCGCCTCTAGCCAACTCCCTTGACCGCTTCTAATTCCTGCCTCCGATTTCTTCTGTGCAGGGTCTCAGATTTCTGTACCAGCCCAATGCAGGGACTTGTAAGTTTTCTCTCTCTCTCCCTCCCCCCCGCCCCAATCCTTCAATTCAGTTGCATTCAGCTGACGTGTATTGAAGGCACACATGAGTTACAATGATGAACAAAATCAAAAACCAAAACACAGAACCCTGGAGCTCCCAGGGTATTTCACTTTTTAGAAGGCTATGTTTGATATACTTACATACAGTGAATCTGTACCACAATACTTCTGAAGATGTTTGTACCTGGGGCTTTTGTATTGTCAAGTATTTAAAATCTACCCAAAGAATATATCCTTTAGAAACAAATCTTATTAGCATTTTTAGACATCTGAAATCAGAAATCTTGCCTACACAATTTTATTTATGTCCTGTGTCTTCATGTCTGGTTTCCTACAGAGTGCATCTTTCTTAATCTATGAAAAAGGCTTTCAGAGAAGTTAATACGAGAGTTGTGTCTAATTAGCACTTCTTTGGCACATGTCAAGTTGAGGTTAATTATGTTTCTCTAATCCACAGCCTCTTTTACACAGAAAATGTTTCACCTGCCATGCCATGGTAAAAGACAACCACTAGTAGGCGCTGAGAGCTCACTCTTTGGCCTAGGCCTTGCTGTCCGCTTGGGCTTTTGAAGTTGGTCTGCAAACATTTGCCTTGCCATATGCAGTGACACTCTAACTAAATCACTAGTCTGATGAATGACGTGTAGGTGTAAATAGTAGAAAATAGTTAACCAGGCCATTTTCTTCGTTCAGTGAACATCAGGTTTTAGGGCCGTGAGTGGCCCTCTAATCCTCCCCGTAAGTTCCTTTGAATCAAAAGTAAAATTAAGGAACTTTCTCTGGAGTCATACGAAAGACTCTTATATTTTTCATAATGGAAAGAAGACAGGACTGAGGGTCAGAGGCCTGAAGTCGGGTCTGAGTACACTTTACTAGTTCTGTTTTAGCTGTAGAAATGTGAAGACACAGGATGGCAGAGTTTTCTGGGAGAAAACTGAGACTATTGGACTCTGATAGACTGACTCTCAACTGGGAGGGTACTCGGGACTGTGGTAGCTCTGGAATGCCAGTTTACTAAGGTGGGAAGTCAGATTCTTTTTTTTTTTTTTTTTAGATTTTATTTATTTATTTATTTTAAGGACTTATTTATTTATTTGAAAGACAGAGTTACACAGAGAGAGGAGAGGCAGAGAGAGAGAGAGAGAGAGAGAGAGAGAGAATCTTCCATCTGCTGGTTCACTCTCCAAATGGCTGCAATGGCCAGAGCTGTGCTGATCTAAAGCCAGGAGCTTCTTGGTTCAGGGGCCCAAGGACTTGGACCATCTTCCACTGCTTTCCCAGGCCATAGCAGAGAGCTTGATAGGAAGTGGAGCAGCTAGGACTCCAACTGGCACCCATATGGGATGGTGGCACTGCAGGCCGCAGCTTTACCTACTATGCCATAGCACCGGCCCCAAAAGGTTTTATTTATTTATTTGAGGCAGAGTTACAGACAGGGAAAGACAGAGAGAAGGTTTTCTATCCACTGATTCACTCCCCTAAATGGCCACAACAGCCAGAGCTGGGCCGAACTGAAGCCAGGAGCCAGGAGCTTCTTCTGGGTCTCCCACATGAGTGCAGGGGCCCAAGCACTTGGGCCATCTTCTACTGCTTTCCCAGGCCACAGCAGAGAGCTGGAGTGGAAGAGGAGCAGCTGGGACATGAACCAGCACCCATATGGGATGCCAATGTCGCAGGCAGAGGCTTAGCCCACTAAGCCACAGTGCTGGCCCCAGGGAAGTCAGATTCTAAGCACAAAGATGGCTTGGGAAGTAGAGTCACAGCTAAGTATTATGGATGCCTTTAACTAATTAATTAATTTGAAATCCAGCATTAGCCGGTGCCATGGCTCAATAGGCTAATCCTCCGCCTTGTAGTGCCGGCACACCGGGTTCTAGTTCTGGTCGGGGCACTGGATTCTGTCCTGGTTGCCCCTCTTCCAGGCCAGCTCTCTGCTGTGGCCAGGGAGTGCAGTGGAGGATGGCCCAAGTCCTTGGGCCCTGCATCTGCATGGGAGACCAGGAGAAGCACCTGGTTCCTGCCTTTGGATCAGCGCGGTGCGCCGGCCGCGGCAGCCATTGGAGGGTGAACCAACAGCAAAAGGAAGACCTTCCTCTCTGTCTCTCTCTCTCACACTGTCCACTCTGCCTGTCAAAAAAAAAAAAAAAAAAAAAATCGAGCATTCTAGATGAGCGAGTGAGCGAGTGAGTGAGAGAACTTCTATCAGCTGGTTCACTCCCCAGATGGCCACAATGACCGGGGCTGGGCCAGGCTGAAGCTAGGAGCCAGGAGCCAGGAGCCAGGAGTTCCATCCAGGTTTCCCATATGGTGCAGTGGTAGGGGCCCAAGCACTTGAGCCATCCTACCCTGCCTTTCCCAGGCCATTAGCAGAGAGCTGGATCAGAAGTGGAGCAGCCAGGACACAAACCAGTGCTGATATGGGTGTGGTGTCACAGGAGACAGCTTTACCCACCACGCTACAATGCTGGTGCCTATGCATGCATTTAGCATGAGTTAGCATGAGTTCCCCAGCTAACATGATTTAAGGGACTTCCCCATTATACCAAGAGCGTTACCAATGGGACAGCATCCTGAGAATCTGTGTGCCATCTCCTGTAGATGTACGGGACCCTTATCACCTGCAACTGCTTTGGGCTTCCTGGTCCTGGGTGTCCATGGCTGCCTGCTTCCTTCCAAATGGACGTGGCTTCTCTTGACTTAACAGCTGATTCATTCAAACAGGTGGCCACTTGGGTAGCTTTCTGTTCATGCATGCTGGGATGTTTTAGACACTAATCTTTTGATTTCTCTCATCAGATAATAATATCCTAATTATTTAGCTTTCACATTTATTAAAAGCAACTCACATTTCCAATGAACCTATTTTGCTTCTAAATAACACAAACTGTAGCTAACACTCGTGAGTGGCCATCAGTGCCGGGTGCTGTGCTAAGACTGTGGTAACTTATTTCACTTAGTCCTCGCGATGACCACAAGGGAGCATTTGGCGTTCTCACCGTGTAGAGGAAGGGCTCGAGTGATGTGGGTCACTGGCAGCCCAGGTGGTGACGAGGGCGCCATTCCAGGACAGCAGTCTTAGCAGCTGGGCCTCTCGTGTTGCCACTGAGTGCCTGAGTTTTGAAATCTGGCTTCACACTCACCTGTCTGTGTGATCCATGGGTAATCTGGGCACCGGTGCATTCCGATTGGTGGGATTTGCATGACTTCGAGTTTCAAATGGAGTGTCATGTGCAGACTTCACAGCTGCTTTTGCAATGAATTGATGTTGCTTGAGTTTTATGTTATATATTATACTTAGTCCAAAAGCTATTTTTTAAAAATGGCTTCTATTTATTTTTAAAAAATATTTATTTATTTGAAAGGCAGACTTACAGAGAGGAAGAGGCAGAGAGAGAGAGAGAGAGAGAGGTCTCCCATCTGCTGGTTCACTCCCCAGATGGCTGCAATGGCTGGAAATGCACCAATCTGAAGCCAGGAGCCAGGAGTTTCTGGTGTCCCGTGCGGGTGCAGGGTGCTTTTCCAGGCCATAGCAGAGAGCTGGATGGGAAGTGGATCAACCAGGATATGAACCGGTGCCTATATGAGATGCTGGCAGTGCAGATGGCAGCTTTACCCACTAAGCCACAGGGCCGGCCTTCCTTTTATTTTTGTTTTATTTGAAAGTGGAGGGTGGGGGGGAGACAAAGAGAATGAGCAATATCTTCCATTCATTGTTTTACTCCCCAGATGCCTGCAACAGCCAGGGCTGGGCCAGGCTGAAGTCAGGACCCTGGAACTCCACCTAGGATCCCCATGTAGACGTCAAGGTTCCAACTATTTGTGCCATCACCTGCTGCCTTCCAGGGTGTGGGTTGGCAGGAAGCTGGAATGGGAAGTGTAGCTGGGACTTAAACCTAGGCACTTTGAAGTGAGACACGGGCATCCCAAGTCACATATTAATTGCTACAACACTCTCCCATCCCAAAAGCTATTTTAAAAAATGTTGCCAGGATGAAAAGCCCATGAGAGTATTTCAGGCATGGAAAGCCAAGACACTCTGGCGGTGACCACATAACTACAAGAAGAAGAACAACAACAAAAACAAAAAACCACAACAAAAAACCTAAATGAAAGATCTCTGTGAGTGAGATCCCAGTGGAAAGAACAGGTCTTCAAAGAAGGAGGTACCTTTCTCTGAAGGGAAGAGAGAACCTCCACTTTGACTATGACCTTGTCTAAACAAGATAAGAGTCAGAGAACTCAAAAGGCTTCCATAGCTTGCAAACTCATGACTGAGCATAGGAGATACTGATGGCATAAACTGACTGTCATTGGTAGTCAACACAGAGTCACTGTGCCTTACTCCTCATGTAGGATCTCTGTCCTTAATGTGCTGTACATTGAGACTTAATGCTATAACGAGTACTCAAACAGTATATTTCACTTTGTGTTTCTATGGGGGTGCAAACTGTTGAAATCTTTACTTAATGTATACTAAACTGATCTTCTGTAAAAAAAAAAAACCAAAAAACAAATTATCAATTCCCAACTTGACTCTCACTGGGATTAAACATGACAATAGGTCTGATCTGGTTTCATCATCATTTAAAAAAATCATCTATTATTTTTCACTTTATGTTTCTGTGTGGGAGCAAACTGTTGAAATCTTTACTTAATGTATACTAAACTGATCTTCTGTATATAAAAGAGAATTGAAAATGAATCTTGATGTGAATGGAAGGGGAGAGGGAGTGGGAAAGGGGAGGGTTGTGGGTGGGAGGGACGTTATGGGGGGGGGAAGCCATTGTAATCCATAAGCTGTACTTTGGAAATTTATATTCATTAAATAAAAGTTAAAAAAAAATGTTGCCAGGAAATACCAGGTCAATAGACCCCAGTGAGGAAATGCCTCCCAAACACAGAATTCACTCAAAAAACAAAACAAAACAAAACAAAACAAAACAAAACAAAACAAAACACATAGTCCTGTAAGATCAGTTTGACAAATAAAACTAATATGAATGCAGGGAGAACACATAAATGCAAAAACAAGTGTTCTGAAGCTTCGTGTTGTAGTAACAAGCCCAGGCTTCACTGAACACTTGGCATTAGATGTTGCTTTACGCTCTGAATGTGTATCAATGCACTTAAACATGAAGAAACCTATAACATAGGCACCATTTTCATCTCCATTTTACCGATGAGAAAGCAAGGCCAGGAACAGTGAAGCATCCCTGTCCCACAGCCAGTGAAGTGGTGAAGCCAGGGTTTGAGTTTTGGCAGCACTCGGCTTGTGGGCGATTGTCGTGGCCCTGGCACCCGGCTATGGCAGGGCCATTTCTGCAGGTGCACTCAGTTTCTCTGGAGTCGGCTCGGACAGCTGATCGGTCCCCCAAGGCTGGGCGTCCCTAGAAGGCACTGAGGTCTCCTTCGGCCCCTGCATGAGGAACGGCCACGCGAAGACTCAGTGAGTCATGATCCGTACCTGAGACTTCGGAAGGTCCAGCAGAAGTTTTGATGCTTGCTGAAGTCCTTTACACCTTTAAAGCCTTAGTGGGTGAGAAGGCAGTGCTCCAAGGGGATGAGCATGAGCAGAGGCATGATGTCTCAAAGGGCATAAAAGCTGCGCAGTGTTGGGGCCGGCACTATGGCGCAGCGGGTTAACACCCTGGCCTGAAGCGTCGGCAACCCATATGGGTGCCGGTTCAGGACTGGCTGCTCCACTTCCGATCCAGAGCTCTGCTATGGCCTGGGAAAGCAGTAGAAGATGGCCCGAGTCCTTGGGCCCCTGCACCCGCATGGGAGACCGGGAAGGAGCTCCTGGCTTCGGATCAGCCCAGCTCTGGCTGTTGCGGCCAACTGGGGAGTGAACCAGCAGATGGAAGACCCCCCACCCCCCAACCCCCTTCTCTCCTCTCTCTGTGTAACTCTGACTTTCAAATAAAATAAATAAATCTTAAAAAAAAAAAAAAAACCTGTTCAGTACCAATGAGACCAAGGAGAACAAGAAGAACTTCCCTCGGAGTTACAAAAATGATGCAGGTAGTGGGGCCTATCAGGATGCATGGAGGGAAAGGGGCGGGAACGTTGTTGATGGGATGCGGATGGGATGACGGCAGCTTGCACTTGTGGCTGGCCTGGGAGGTTTTCTCAGTGGGGTAAAGCTATTAATTTATTTTCAGTGCGCCAAAGCAGCAGCCATCCTGGCTTCTAGGGTGTCACAAGCGGGGCCCTTGAGGCCTGTGGGAATTTTCAGAAACTCATCGTCATGACAGACTCCCAGAAATGGCTCTGGACGTGAGGTGAGACGGGCTCATGGAGTCTGTCCCTTATTGGTCGGGCGAACTTGGGCCATCTGGCCTCGCTCCTGCTGCTTCTTCGTGCCTGTTGTGTGTAACGGGCAACTATTGCTCCACAGAGGTTGTCAGGAGCATCAGATGGGCGAATATTTGTAAAAGGCAGGCGCACAGCCCAGGGCGCAGCTCAGATCCCTGCGTGTTGTCACCATTAAGACGGCCAGTGCTCCCTCCTGGATTTCGACCACGGAAAGAACAGTTTTGTTCCTACTAGTGATGACGGTATGCTGGATGCTAAGGGCAATTACCAGTCAGAAACACAGCCCGGACACCATGGGGAGGGCAGTGACGGACGGAGCGGAACGGAGACCCAAGGTCAGCAGAAAGGGCGAAGAATTCACTAGCAGACACTGCTCGAGCCCGACGCGCGCGCTCTGCATTCTCCGCGACTCGGACCTGGAGCGAATTGTTTGACTTTGCAACGCCGACAGCCAGGCTGCTGGGCGGGGCGGGGCCCACCTCGGGTCACTCCTCCCTTCCACAGCCCACTTCGGACCCCGTCCAGCGATTGGCCGCCTCGACCCCGGGCCGTCGCCGATTGGCGCTCGCAGGCAGGGGCTACGGGGTTTAAAGAGGGGGGCGGGGGCGCGCCGCCAAGCAGCGCCGCTGTCCCCGCACTGCGCTCCTAGCGGTCCCCGCCACCGAGCGCCCGCCGCGCCGTCGGAGCCCGACTCGCAGACGCTCGCCTTCGGTCGCAGCCGGCAACCAGCAGCTAGCGAGCGCAGGAGCTGGCGCTGTCCAGCCCGGGGTCCCCCGGTACAGCCAGTGAGGGGTGAGGCGCGGGGACGTCGGGGCGGCCACCATGGTGGCCACGTGCCTGCAGGTGGTGGGCTTCGTCACGAGCTTCGTGGGCTGGATCGGCATCATCGTCACCACATCCACCAACGACTGGGTGGTGACCTGCGGCTACACCATCCCCACCTGCCGCAAGCTGGACGAACTGGGCTCCAAGGGGCTGTGGGCCGACTGCGTTATGGCCACGGGGTTGTACCACTGCAAGCCCCTGGTGGACATCCTCATCCTGCCGGGTAAGGACCCCCACCTTGCAAGATCTGAATTCAACCTCTCCCAGCCTCAGTATATATTTTTGTTTTTAAATTTGGAACTTGGGGATGTAGGTGATAATTTGCTGGTGGCCACGGTGCCCAAGTCGCTGTGAAAATTTAATGGACAGACACAGAGCAGGAACTGGGTGTCCGTCACTCCACCTGCCCCATCTTCCCACCGACGGGGACTCGACCTCCTCCCGCTCGCGCCCCTGCTTTCGCGTTAGTTTCCAAACCAGCAGGTGAGGGGACAAGGAGGAAAACGCGTTCAAGCGACTGGAAGGGCGCAGGCTGGGTGTCCCTGTCCTCGTGGGGGCGGGCTAGGCGACCTGGCCAGGCTAGGGCTCTTCCAGCTGCGCGCGCCCGGTGGTCCAGCGATTCACGTCCCAGGACGTTTCTAGACTGCGCAGTTGAGCAAACTCCAGGTTGGTGCCCTCAGGCTCTAGGGTCCGTCCTATCTCCCTGGTCCCCAGCGTGGTCCCCACCCCTGCCTCTTCCAACTCCCGCGGGGCATCAGGTCCCAGAGCCCCCTCCCCAGCTCCGAGCCCTCTGATCGGAGCGGGAAGCTTGGGTGCTCCTGGAGGAGACAGAGAGTCCCTCCCCACGCCAAGCTGTGTTTGGGAGTCGGGTGGGGGCAGAATTGATTGACAAGCACCCGCCCGCCGGCCCCCAAGCCCATTTTCAGGTGTTGCCCGATAGAAACCCTTTGGGCGGTTTCAGGAAAGTTGGGGTAGGTGGCTGGCGAGGTCGTAAGCGCCCCCTCGGGTCTTCTGCGGGGGAACCCCCGGACTGCGCACAGGCTCATCCTCACCTTGGCTTCTGCACCGGGGCCTTTTGTCCCGCCAGCCGTGGTGGATCGTGTGCGCATTTAAAGTCCTGCTCGCGTTTTTTAAAATGCGGAGAAACCTGCGAATCCGGGGCTGTGCCTTGGTGCCTTCTGGCAGGGGAGTCCGTGGCTCCACTTCAGCGCCCCAGGAACGCCCTCTTTCCCCACAGTTGCGATCAGTTCCCTTGCTGCTCCTCTACTTGGCCGCTTCTCCTCGTCTGAACCCCTTACTTCTGGTTTTCATGGGTTGTTGGTGAAGGTGAAATCCGTTTTTCTCCCTACATTTTACATTCCTTGAAGATACAGATAGCACCCTGTGGCCTTTGCATCCGAGCCTGTGCCCAGCATTGCCATGGGTGCACAGCAGGTGCACACAGCAGGTGCACACGGTGCCTGCCAGCTCTGCCTTTCACTGTCTTCGCGCAGAAGAGTAGAAATCAGGGAACCCAAGGGAACTGGGTCCAGCCTCAGTTAATGCTGGCCTTGGTAGACAGGGAGCAGACCCCAGGGGCCAGTGCTCACTATCTGGGTGATTTGCCTATCTCCATGCACCCTCATTCTCTCCTTTTAAAAATTAAAATCAAACCAATCACCTTTCTGCTGAAACTGTTGAGTGAGACAAGAAGTGGAACCCTCCTTTGGTGTAGCAGAAGTTCTGCAAATGGTCAGTAAGCTGCATAGCATTCCTACCAACTTCTGACTGAAGCATAGAATTACTCTCTGCTTCCTCGCCCTGGAGTGGAGTTTGCTGAGCATTCAGTGTGAGCGGTTTGCTTGCAGAGGAGAGGGACCACCACCCAGGAGGTAGTAGTACATTTTGGGGAGAGCTCAGTGCTTCTGCCCCACCTGCCCTGGGTAGGGGCCGGGACAGGCCTCAGTCTCCATCTTGCTTTTCAGACATGGCCTTGGTACTGCAGCGCGTGCACAGCCCACGTCATTCGTCTCAGAATCTCTGAATCTCATTCACTGCCTGCTGTGTGTCTGCCCAGGCTCATCCACAAGCTGCAGGGGCAGGGTTGGGCTCAAATTCTGGATGGCTCCTCCAGGGGCCCTCAAGTCCCCAGACACTCGCGTGACCATCAGGAACTCTGAAGGAGCAGAGGTGGGCGGTGGTTGGAAGAGGGCCCTTCCGGAGTCTGAATGCTGGCAAACACGCCTTGCTGCCCTGTTGAGGTTGGGTCCTGGTGTTGAGTGTAGGCTGGCTGCGTTTGGCAAAGGTCCTGGTGTGTGAGGCATAAGTTGGGGCTGATTCTTGGCTGTGCCATGAACTCTGCCTCACTCAGGCCCTCAGGCCACCATCTGTGAATCTCTATGAATAAATATGGAGAGAACTAAATATAGTAACAAAAAATAGTTGTTAAATAGGGAGAGTGATGCAGTGAAAAGTGATAGATTTCAAAGTAAGACAATGGATTCAAGCATGTGAAATTCTCTCTGTATCTTCTCAGACTTTTTCTACGTAAGTATTGCACACATAATTTGCTTCTTAATAAAGCTGTTTCTTGGGACTTTACCCATCCGTATGATGTTCAAGGCAGTTTTGCTGTACCCTCCTATTCAATTCACTTACTCCCTTACTCAACATTGTTTATTTAACATCATCTGTTGTGGCCATTGTGTCACCTCCTTGAAGACCAAGGCAGGCGTTTGTCCTGCAAAAATCCCCAGGGCTGGGGCTTGGAGAGGTTCTTTGAAGCAATGGTGGACAGTTGAGGAGGCACGCCCAGAGCACTGTGGGAGAGGCAGGAGACGGAGCCCGACCACCTGTAGGGAGAACTCATGAGCAGAGCAGCCTCCAGAGAGACAGCAAGAAGGGAAAGCCCGAGTGTTAGCTTAGTCTAGTTCAGGGCCATACGCTAGTCAAACCCAATGTAAACTAACAAGACATTGTTGGGGAGAAAACCACCTGGTACCTCTGGTGATAAAAGTACTGCATGGCACAGAGTTACACTACCAGTAATAACAAATTTGTTATGATGACTTAGCGTAAACCCTGTTTTGAGCACTGCATGAATTAATCTTCAATAGAATTCTGTTGGAAAGATGCAGCTGCTATTATTATTTTCACTCCATGATGAGGAGAGTAAGACATGTCAGTTAAGTTACTTGCCCAAGATCACACAAGTACCTAGAGTATATCAAGAGCAGACTGCAACCAGCTCAGAACATCACAGAACACCACAGAACACTTGGAGGATTTGAGTTTTCATTTGGACCTTTCTCAAAGTGATGTAATAATGTAAGTGGCCGCTCCATCTCGGGAAGTGACCATGTGGTCCAAACTGGAGATTCCCCCTTCCATGTCTCCAGTCCCTTTTCTTGTTGCTGAGTTGCTTTACAATTTGAAAGTGCACAGTGATCTTGGACAACATTCTGCGTGCCCTACATCCTGGAATGGGGAGGGAGGGAGGAAGGGAGGTGGCGCTGAATTCCTTCGAGGCAGGGTGCAGGACCCAGGAGGACCGTGGCCTAACCCAGGCCATCTGCTCTCTTGTTCCAGGCTACGTTCAAGCTTGCCGAGCCCTGATGATTGCTGCCTCCGTCCTGGGTCTGCCGGCCATCTTCCTGCTGCTCACTGTTCTCCCCTGCATCCGAATGGGCCATGAGCCTGGCGTGGCCAAGTACAGGCGGGCACAGCTGGCTGGCGTTCTGCTCATCCTAGTGGGTAAGACGGCTTCCTACATGGCGCCCCAGCTCGGGGTGAACCTGATGAGTCTCACACCTCAGGGCTGCTGCTTCGTGGAGTTTAAGAGACGTGTGAAAGGTGGCCAGATGAATCTGTAGGGGAGAAATGCTTGCAACCCGTGACCTCTTTTAGTTCATGGACAGTTTACAGACGGTGATAGGTCTGTGGGTGGGGGACACTGAGCGTGAAATAAATTGAAAGAGGAGGATTTTGAGGGCAGGAAATCCCCGAGGGAGAGACCAGGCGAGCCGAAGGAGTTATAGCGTGGCCCCATGGTGGAATCCCTTTCAGAACATGGACACTCAGCTCCCACTGCAGACCAACTGAATTGGAATTTTCTGGCTATTAGGCTAGGCAAGAGCATTTTTTGAAAGCTCCCCAGGTGATTCTTAGGTGCAACCAATATAGGGCATCTCGGTTAATACAGAAAGAAAATGGAGAAAGAGGAGAGCAAGAGAAAAACAAGGTGTCAAGGGTGGCAGACCAGCAGACAATCATTCCATCTTTCCTCCCGGAAGCGGGAGTAGAGCAAGTGGGCCAGCGTCGTGGTAGGCATTGAGAGTGTTGGGAGGCGTGGAAAGACCATCTCTGCTCTGAGCATGCTTGGGCATTGCAATTGTGCCCAGCTAAAAGAGATACTCACCTCTGGGCTGCGCACACCCCTGGGAAGGCATCAACCAGGAGTAGAGGAGTTTCCCAGGGCGGAGGCATCCAGTGATGAATGTCGAGAGCTGGAGTGAAGGTGGCCAGGTCATGAGCTGGAGGGAGGGATGGCTGCGGCCCAGGAGCTGGCCTGCGCTTGTTCCGTATTGCTGCGCTGATTGCGCCGAGCACCGGGGGCGCCGTTCTACAACCCGTGGGACAGTGCTGCCAGCCCTGCTCCCTTCGATGATTTCACTTCTCTGCATTATCCCCCCACTGAACGCTAATTCCATTCGCAAGTTCTAAGCCCTAATAGAGGATATGAATCTGAAAAGCTGCAGCTGTTGGTGCAAAATGCATATCCAGTGAGGAGAAGCTGGCCTGGATCTGGGTCAGTGAGCTCATCCCCAAACTGAAAGGCCAGACCCTGTGCTTGAGGAGTGAGGGGACAGGGTGCTGGGGGGTTGATGCCATGCCCCACCTGGGGGTTCTCAGCCTGACCCACAGTGATGCCAGAGGTGGGGGGAAGTGGGTTGTGTGTGTGTGTGTGTGTGTGTGTGTGACAGGAGTGAAAAGGCCCTCTGGAAACCCTAGACAAGGGTCTGGGCATGGCAATTTTGACTCCAACCACAAAGAACATGTGAGAGTGCACACAGAACACACAGCATCCTGTGCCCCATCCCACTCACAGGTGCCCCTTTTTACTCCGTTCTAGCGGCTTTACAGGCGAACTGGGTTGTGGAATCCAGATGAAACCTCTCCCTAGGCTCTTCCAGCCAGTTCCTTGCATTCTCACTGAAGCCCAGAAGGCTTTCTTGGACTCTGAGCATGGCAGGGCCCAGGGATGAACGTGTTGTCAGAGGGGCTACTCCTGAGAAATTCTGGCTTCCATATGAGAGTATAGCACATCCAGCAGAGAGCGAATGCACTAAAGCGAACCAGCTGACCCTGGGGAAAAGAGAGGGATAAAAGCAAAGTATACACAGACTGGTTTTGGGGAAAAAACCCCATAATCAGGGTTATGAAAATAAAAAAGCAGCTGGTGGTTTGCAACTTCCTGCTGACTTAGTTTGTCTTTTAAAGGCAGGCTGGCGAAGGCAGGCAGAATCATAGATGAGGAAAGCAAGGTGGGGCTTGGTGGTAGATGCCGGTCGCTCATTCCCTGTTTCCTGGAGTGAAAGTATGGGGAAAATGGGGTGCTGAGTGGCCTGATCCCACCCAGGCAGGCTGCACCTTTGTGCACACTCGCTGGCTGGAATGGCGCCTGCACAGCTTTGCATTTTCTCCTCGTGGGTTGCTCCTGTCTGTATTATTGCTCAGCGGGCCACCCCTGGCCTTGGGGTTGGATGTGACTGCAATGAGCGTCTCTGGAAATGTAAAGCTCATTGTCTCAAGTGTGGCACCTGCTGATCTCCCCACAGAGCCCCAAAAAGTGCCTTGTTTTCCCCTGTTGGCAGTGAGTGGGAGGGGCAAGAGAGAGTGAAGGCTCCCTTTGTGTGGCTCTGGTTTGCTTTCTGTCACTCCCCCACCCCGCCTCCCCGGGAGAGGCCAGCGTTGGGCCTGTGCTGGGTCTCAGGGGTCACCGGATGGCGATCCAGCTGGGGTGTGGGTGCTAACCAAATGGTGGTGAGCAGCCCTGGCGGCCACAGCTGGTCCTGCTTTGGAAACCTTGAGCACTTTGCATTGAAATCAGTTCTTCCTGATCAGAAAATCTGCAATTATTTTTTTTCTGGAAACTTACAGAATATGCATCTGTTGTGCAACAACTTTCTCTTCTCAGGAGTCTGATAGAGTAAGGATTTCCTGGATGCTGCTGGCTTCTTAAGCTAGATGGGTTGCCCAGGGAGCAGCAGGCTCCTCAGATCTTCGGTGGCTCTGAGGCTGATCCAATCTGCTTTTCCCTGCCAAGGCAGGAGGTGACTATGCCTCCAATCATTCTGCTTTGTCAGTTGGGAGTCAGACCCAACCACAGAGAACCTGTACTGTGCTACTTTCTTGCTGCAATAAATGCTATAATAAATAAATACTATAAAGTAGAAATAATACTGCCCACGTTTGGGGATGGTAACTAGAGTGAAACTATGTATAGAAATTATTAGCATGGTACCTGGCACATAGTAAGTGTTCAGCAAATGGCTGCTATTGCTGTTGGAGAAAAAACACCACTAACTCACAGGGCAACTGGGTATTCTAATCATATCTAATTTGTACAGGCTCATCACCACATATGGAACTGTCGGGGAGAGAAAACATGTTTTTGGAAACACTACCTCGTATCTTGGCCTAATGGAAATATTTCCTTTGTTTACTTTGTGGAAGCCAGAATGTGGGGATCAGTAGGTAGGGGTTTCTGTGTATTCAGCTATGAAAAAGCATATTAAATCACGCTGCTGAAAACCCTGGATCTTAGTACTGAGTCAGTCTGATTCTCACTGTTGCTATGAATTGGGAAGTGCTTCGGGTGCTTCTTAGGGGATAGGGAACAGATTGGAAGGTGAGGAAATGTACTTTGCATCCTAAGTGGAATCTTTTCATCCTCCTTCACAGACATACGGCCCCAGAAAGGACATTGATGTGTCATGTGAACAGTTGTTTTAACTTGGAACATTCAGATTGATAGTGGGTTTGGGGTAAAATTAAGGGTGTGTGCAAATGTGGTACAAATTGAGCTTGTGCCACACACAGAAACAAATGGGAAAAGGAATCCGTGGGTGCAGAATAAACAATGATGCTTTGAATCTCAGGGCATGAATAGAATCATTAGAAAAATCTTCCTCCAAACTCATTAGCTTTATGCAAACAAGTGCCCCATTGCAGTCAACTTTTATGTGGGTAGTGGAAGGGATGTGGCATTTAGTGTAACTGCGGCTTTAACGACCTTGTCATGAAATTGGAGACACTGGCTGCTTTATGAACCCTCCTGTCTCTAAATTCTCTGTTTTCAAAAAGTTAACAGATAGCCATGAGGCTGTATTAAAAAAGGGTATGGGAAAGAAAAAATAATGATGCATGGATTTGAAATAAAGGGAAAAATGTTGAAAGCAGGCCAGGAAAATAATGCCCTCAGATATTCCATAGATGATTGTCGTAAATGTTAGCTCTTCTGCAAAGTCCTTTGTGAGACAGGAGCGTGTCCTCTGCAGCTGGTTTCCCTAGGGCAGCGTCACACATGAGGAAAAGAAACCTAAAACTCTTCTAGCTTCAAGCGTTCAGAAAGCAGCAAATAAATATGACCCCACACAGCAGCTCCTTAGAAACCTTGTGAGCTGTTGCCTTCATTCCCCTTTTTATAAAATCCGCAGTTAATTGCTACTTAGGTTGTAGGACTGCGAGTAGAAGATGGTGGTCAGTGCATTGTAGAAAGTTAACTGCAGAAGGATTGGAAAGTTTTTGTGGTGGAATATTTCAAACTTAGACAGAAACAGGAAGAGCAGCCCAGTGAGCCTCCGGGCCTCCCCACATCGATCAGCTCTGGCCTGGCTGCTGCTCACTCCTTTCGGGCCCCAGATTTTTGGGAAACAATTCTTGTTGTAACAAGGCTGAATTTTTCCAGTATTACTAATATAGTCAGAATAATTTAAGTACCTTTTAATGAAAATATTGCTTTGTGCTGGAAAATGATGCTTTTAAAAGTCTTTATAGTGCCTAGTACTGAAAGTGACAAAACCTAAAAAAAAAAAAAAAAAAAAGAGGTTCATTGGAGGAAGGAAGAAACGTCAGTGTTGGGTGATCTTCTGTCTTCCTCTGCCTCTCTGTCTCTCTCCATGTTATCTAATCTCTTAAGAGATTAAAAGCCAGCTACACTCGCACTTCATTGTTCTAAAATGGCCTTCCCAAAGGTTTTGTTTTCTTTGATTAAACCAAGTTGTACATCGTATCAACTCAAGAATGCATTGTGTCACATTGTTTGAAACGTGTTCTCAAAAGAGACAAGCAACTTTGTTCTTTTAAGAGCCAGGGATTCTATTTAGGAGATGACAGAGTCTGGATGAAGCTGACCCACATAATGAAGCTTTCTTCTTTTAAAAATCCAAGACTACCCCAGATTTTTATTTCTCATTCTCCAATAGCAAATGGCAGATTAGCACCCTCTGCCTATGCAGTTAACTATTCTGCTTTCTGTAAGTACTCACCGGAGAAAGACTGAGAAGTATGAGCATGGAAGTTTCCCTGTCTTGTTTTTAGAGATTTGACTTAAAAATAAAGTCTGATGACATAAAAAGAAAAAAGAATGAGACTTCTCTTTATAGTTCTTCACTGTTCTTTATCGCGGGTGTGTGGCTATTTAATTTATTTATTCACTTATTTGAAAGGCAGAGTTACAGAGGCACAGAGGCAGAAAGAGAGGTCTTCCATCCAAATGGCCAGAGCTGGGCTGATCCAAAGCCAGGAGCCAGGAGCTTCTTCCAGGTCTCCCACACGGGTGCAGGGGCCCAAGCACTTGGGCCATCTTCTACTGCTTTCCCAGGCCATAACAGAGAGCTGGATCAGAAGTGGAGCATCCAGGACTCGAACTGGTGCCCATATGGGATGCCGGCACTGCAGGCAGTGGGTTTATCCAATATGCCACAGTGCTGGCCCCAAGTGTGACTTTTAAGAAAAACATTTTCTTTTTTCCCCCAAATAACAGAACCATTTTGAATTCATATTTTTTGGGGGTAGGCCAGTAGAAAGGCCCACTAGGACATGAAGAAAGCCAAACATTATCAGCAGTTTTACTAATATTTCATGCTTTGGTAGTCAGGCAATTATTTGACTTGTATTTTTAACTTTACTGGTCAGAACATACCCCTTTCGCCTTTCAAACCATTGCTGAAATTGAATAAATTTTCTTTTTTCAGTTTCTAAACATTTTTGTGCTGAGTTCAAGTGCAGGGCAGTGTCTGCTGCGAGCCCCTCATTTCCTTTCATGTTGTGCGTGGTCTGTCGTTCCTCAGCGGTTTTCATGTGGTGTATCTCGGAGAGCCACAGGGATTCCACCCAGAGTCCATTGATCCACCAGGAGAGAAAGCCTGCTGGTACTCATTTGCCTTGTTTTGCATGGATTAGAAAAGAAGGAAATTCTGAATGAGGTACAACATGAACTTGTGACTTTAAAGTCACACAAGAGTTTTCGTTGAAGAGGAAAGGCAAGTTGAAATGAGACCACGTCTCCTCCACTGGTCTGCCCATCTGTCTGTCTTCTCTCTCCCGATTCCCTCATCCAGCCCTCTGAGGCTCATTGTCCAAATGTTGAGACACATTCATTTTTCTAATGAATTGTATTTGAATAAAATCTAACCAAATCCCGATGGGGGGGAAGCCATTGTAATCCATAAGCTGTACTTTGGAAATTTATATTCATTAAATAAAAGTTAAAAAAAAAAAAGGAAAGAAAAATCTAACCAAATCCCGGACACGTTCAACACCCAAGTTTTGATGTTACCGATGGTCACTTTGGGAATGTGGAAGTGAATTCTTTTCCTTAATTCTATAGAACCTAAACCAAATCTGGAGTTTACGTCAGGTTTCCATGTGATGTGAGGAATGCTTTTTGTGCCTGCCTGCGTGCAGAATGTGTAAGTACAAAAAGCTATTGAAAAATTCAAAACTGAATTTGAACCATGAGCTCTTTTGAAACCAGTCAGTCATTTCTGGGAGAGAGCCTTTGGACTGAACCAGATCAGTTCTTTGGGAGTTAAATATTCCCCCTGCCATGTCATTTAGGTTTTCAGAGCCTGCATTTCCCCCCTAAACAAGCCCGGGTGTCTGGGTGTTTCTTGTGAAGTTGCTGGTCCTGCTCACAGCCGAATGAACACGCCCCTTGGGGCGGGGGTGTGTGTCCTGGCGTTGCGCAGCGAGTTCTGCCCGGCTGGAGCACTCCGGCAGGGGACATGGGGCCCCTGTCCTGATGGAGAATAAGACTTTCCTCTGTGCCTTGCTCAGTGTATGACGATGGCCACAGCCAAGCAGTTCTCCAAGAGTACCCGCTGCTGTGCGATCCCTGTCAGAGAAAGAGAAAAAAAGAGAAGGCTTTCCCCTGGCTCGGAGGTTTCCACAGCCCGGGCTGCAAGGGGCAGGTTCTGGGGGACACTGGTCTTCTCGGACATTCTGCCCAAGGAGAACAGTACCTCCTCACAGGGCGTCTCCTACAGCGCATGTTGCAGGGGCCGGATGAGTGTGCTTGCTTTTTAAGGGAAAGGAACCCATTACTATGGATAGATGTTAGCTTCTTAAATAATTTATATAAACTCCTTAATTGTGTGTGACCTTCACGATTAATGGAGTGGACGTAGGCTCTGAGAAAGCTGATCTGGGCAATTCAGAGCCCTTTAGGGCCTCTTCCCTTTGACTTCTACGTGGGATCTGCACTTTATAGCATAAGGAGCACCTCTATTTCCCTGTAGCTATACCCAGACCGTGTGGTAGGCTTCATCTGTTATCAACAAAACCCTATGTTACAAGCCACAGAAAGGCAATGAGGCCATTTCAAATGTCTCAAATATGGGAAAGACAAAATATTTTCTTCGGATTAGAACTCAGTGTTTATGTTAAGGAAAAAATATGTCCCTTTTCTGTAGGCATGGAGGGTAAGTTAGAAAAATCACTCAGTGTGAGTAGAAGTCAGATAAAAGCTTGCTGAGTTGAAAGCCACAAGAGTACCCCAGGTGGCAAACAGCAGGCTGGCAATGCCACCACCTGTCTGAATTTGTTGATGGCTTTTCTAACTCACAACTGGAAATCTCATTATTGTTATTACGTCTGCCAGTTTAATGTGCCATCTCAACTTAAATTTTTTTTGAATTTTATTTTTATTGTATTTGAAAGGGAGGGAGGGAGGCCAGCGCCGCGGCTCACTAGGCTAATCCTCCGCCTAGCGGCGCCGGCACACCGGGTTCTAGTCCCGGTCGGGGCACCGGATTCTGTCCCGGTTGCCCCTCTTCCAGGCCAGCCCTCTGCTGTGGTCAGGGAGTGCAGTGGAGGATGGCCCAGGTGCTTGGGCCCTGCACCCCATGGGAGACCAGGACAAGCACCTGGCTCCTGGCTCCTGCCATCGGATCAGCGCGGTGCGCCGGCCGCAGCGCGCCGGCCGCGGCGGCCATTGGAGGGTGAACCAACGGCAAAGGAAGACCTTTCTCTCTGTCTCTCTCTCTCACTGTCCACTCTGCCTGTCAAAAAAAAAAAAAAAATATAAAATTTTTTTTTTTAAGGGAGGGAGGGAGAGACAGAACTGTCTTCTCTCCCCAGATGTCTTCAATAGCTGGTGCTGGGCCAGGTTCAAGTCAGAAGCTCAGGGCTCCATCTGGGTCTCCCACATGGGTGGCAGGGACCTAAGGGCATGAGCCATCACCTGCTCACCCCAGGATACATTAGCAGGAAGCTGAATTAGCAGTGAGGCTAAGACTCAATCCTGTGCAGTCTGACATAGGACATAGGCAGACAGTGACTTCTTAACTATTGCATCAGGCTTCTGGCCCTTAACTTAAAGTTGTGACTGAAACTTTTATCCTGCTTATTGTTGTAAGAATTCAGATGGTACCGAAGGAGGTTATGGAATTGCTTTGTCTAGGGCTGTGTTGTTCGGTCCAATAGTCATTAGCCATAGATGGGCACTGAAATTCAAATTAATTAAAATTAAAATTTCAGTTCTTCAGTCGCACTGTTCTCCATGATACCATATGATAGTCCTGGTATAAGAGGTTTAAAACAATTTTTTCAAAGACTTATTTATTTATTTATTTTGAAAGGCAGAGTTACAGAGAGGCAGAGAGAAATCTTCCATCTGTTGGTTCACGTTCATTCCCCAAATGGTCGCAATGGCTGGAGCTAGGCCAATCCAAAGCCAGGTGTCAGGAGCTTCTCCTGGGTTTCCCACGTTGGTTCAGAGGCCCAAGGACTTGGGTCATTTTCTGCTGCTTTCCCAGGCCATAGCAGAGAGCTGGATCGGAAGTGGAGCAGCTGGGTCTCGAACCAGTGCCCAAATGGGATGCCAGCACTGCAGGCAGTGGCTTTACCCACTATGCCACAGTGCTGGACCCTAAAACAATTTTTAAATCTTCATAGGCTCTTGCCTGTCCTTATTGGGTGATTGCTGAGAAGAGAGAATGAAATTATAGAGAGGTTATTTCTTATGGCATGAAATGCGAATCAGATCTGAAGTTTACACTGATGGGTGCAAAACCATAAAGATCTGCCATATGACCCTTTGCAACAAATACCATTGCCATAAAATCCTTGAACCGGTGAAGTTTTCTAACATGTCAGTTGGGTGGGATTTGGTGACTGTGAACAACATAGCACAAGGTAAACCTTTAGCTGATGCTGTAGCTTCTCCACTCAGTCATTCAACTACTACACTCAGTGCACATACTCTGTGCTTAGTACTGTGCAAAAACATTAGATTTGTAGACGTAAGATGTGGTCCCTGCCTTCAAGGCACTCAGTCTGGAAAGGGGAATGGGCACGTAAAGACAGAATTATAATACAAGTAGGTAGGAACGGTAGAGTTGTAACCATACATGCGAAGCTACCAGATGCAAGTAAGTACAAATATATTTTGGACTTAAGTGATTTATTTCTAGGTGTTTCCCTGGGAATTCTTTCATCTCTGCCACCTGTTGAAGGAAATAACCCACCAGCAGTTTGACACAAGTGTGCAGTCGCCTTATTTTACAGGCCGCTGAGTGTGTGGAGCTTCGTGGAGCCGGGTGACGGCCTGCGGTGTGTCCGTGTGGAGTGCAGGGCCAGCTCACCCTCTTGGTGTGCGGTGAGCACGCCCCTCACGCTCTCTCTTTGTCTCCGCAGCCCTCTGCGCCATCGTCGCCACCATCTGGTTCCCCGTGTGCGCTCACCGAGAGACCACCATCGTGAGCTTCGGCTACTCCCTGTATGCGGGCTGGATCGGTGCTGTGATGTGCCTCGTGGGCGGCTGCGTCATCGTCTGCTGCGCCGGAGACGCCCAGGCGTTTGGTGAAAACCGATTCTACTACTCCTCCGGCTCCAGCTCCCCGACGCATGCCAAGAGCGCCCACGTGTAAGCGCGCGCGGGCCGCCCTCCTAGGTGCTGTAGAGGCCGGGCGCTGGCCCTCGCTTTGCTTGCCACAGTGGCGGGGAAGCCCACTTCTCTGCCAGGCTCCAGAGCCAAAGGTGTAGAAAAGCATCCTGTCTGGCCTCCTCTAGTCTTAACACCACTCCCACCCCCACCCCCGCCCCGACCTTTTGGTTGCCTTAAAAGAAACCTCTCGCTCCGATAGTGCCCACACATTTGTCTCACAGCGCCGCTCTTTTCTCGGGCATTCCTTTGTTGTTTATTATTAAAACAAATATTTTGTTTCTCTCTAAATCTTCAATGTCTTGCAAACAGCTCCGGGTTGGGTGGGGGTGGGGGAGAGAAATAAAAGACACTTTTCAGGCTGTAACAGAGGACAGTGGGAGCCTCATAAAGACGCCTCTCTGTTACCTCCCTTCTGTGAGCTCCAAGGTCATTGACTTCTGAGGGATAGAAACAGAATCGGGGGCCACAGCGGGGGCGGGAGGGGAATCCTGGAACTTGTTCTTTCCATGGGAAAATTTCTTTTTTGTAAGTTGAGGGCAAGGGGTGGGGATATTTTTTGGTTTGTGATTTTTACATTTATCTGTACATATTTTTCAAGATTGATCATTTTTATAACCAAGGTTTCCTGAAATTCTCCATTCATCCATATGAAGGAAATGAACCAAATAGACTTTAATTATGCAATAAGTAACAGTCCAAGGGATATAACTTCAAGCGACATTTCACAAACCTGCGTTGGTTTCCAGGTTTGTGTGATGTAGTTTTTAATCTTCTACTTGCCGATGCTTCAGTTTAACACATTTTGAAAGCTTTTCCCTGTTCTCTCTTTGTTTTCATTCAGTTAGCAATCTCTAAGGGATGCTGACTAATGTACATTGTACTGTTGAATGTGGCTGTACGGGTGTACACGCTGATGGTATATCAGTATCTGAGACCCTCAAACTCTCCAAACACTCATGGTGCCTTTTGTTCTTTAAGTGAAATCTGTGCAATAAAATAACAAACTGTCTGCAAACTTGGCCTCCCATCGTCTGTCATACCCAGAGATATCATCTACTGATTTAAAAAAGTCTCATGAATACTGATGATTGGGAACCAAATCAGTGATGCAAGAGTGAGTCACTCAGCATTGCCCTGCATAATTAAAAGGTTGAATATTATTCATGGTACCTTTTTTTTTTTTTTGACAGGCAGAGTGGACAGTGAGAGAGAGAGAGACAGAGAGAAAGGTCTTCCTTTTCCGTTGGTTCACGCTCCAATGGCCGCCTCAGCCGGCGCGCTGTGGCCGGCGCACCGCACTGATCTGATGGCAGGAGCCAGGTGCTTCTCCTGGTCTCCCATGGGGTGCAGGGCCCAAGCACTTGGGCCATCCTCCACTGCACTCCCTGGTCACAGCAGAGAGCTGACCTGGAAGAGGGGCAACCAGGACAGAATCTGGCGCCCCGACCAGAACTAGAACCCGGTGTGCCGGCGCCGCTAGGTGGAGGATTAGCCTATTGAGCCACGGCGCCGGCCCCTGGTTTCTTAAGTGGAGTGACTTTAAGGCAATTTTAAGTCTCAGATAAATGGGCAGCAAGCAGAGACCAAGTTTCAAGCATGATGCAGATGAATTCCTTTGTCTACTTCCAACACTCAATAAAGGAATTGGCTAGGCGTAAAGGGAGAATTAAACATTTTATTGTATCTTTAATAATGTCTAAGTGCATTGTGTTCAAGCACATACCAAAATACTACCAAAAGTTCATGGGAAATGGTTATTGTAGTGCAAAAAATTTGAATTCCATGCCTAGTTTTGCCATAATATCCATTCTCCATGAACTTTTTAAAAACCCCTCTCAAACATGTAGCTGTTTAGAAATTTTTGACAAAGACACATTATGTTGATTTTTGTTTTCTGTTCCAGAAACTCTGTCAGTTTATGGGCTTGCTTAAGAAGATAGATTGCAATCTATTTTGGCAGCTTTGAAATAAAATGCTAGTTTCATTAGCTGGTCATATAATAATTGGCAAACATTCCCTTTTTGCAAATCTCCATTTGGGCTGGTCATTTTGTAGCAATTTATGTGCAAGCTATGACCTAGTTGAAGCTACTTCAACATTACTTATACAAAAAAGTCCATCTTCATGTTGACCTATGTATTGGCTGAGCTAGGATCAAGTTTTTGTAAGGGCGCATGTCTTGTGTCTATATTGGAGAATATGCCCATGCCAGGGTGTAACAAATTATGACATGAATGTAGCAAAAGGCATTTTTTTTAAAAAAAGATTTATTTATTTATTTGAAAGTCAGAGTTGAGAGGCAGAGGCAGTGAGAGAGAGAGAGAGAGAGGTCTTCCATCTGATGGTTCACACCCCAGATGGCTGCAATGGCCGGAGCTGCACTGATCTGAACCCAGGAGCTTCTTCCGGGTCTCCCACGTGGGTGCAGGGGCTCAAGGACTTGGACCATCTTCTACTGCTTTCCCAGGCCATAGCAGAGAGCTGGATCAGAAGTGGAGCAGCCAGGACTTGAACCGGTGTCCATGTGGGATCCCGGCACTGCAGGTGGTAGCTTTACCCACTATGCCACAGCGCCAGCCTTGCAAAAGGCATTTATGGGGACAGGAGAGGCTGTAGGTTCCACGTCCCCTCTCCTCACGACCACCAGCTTGACACAGGCACGTCAGCAAATGCAGCTCTCTTCTTTGCACTTGCTGCATTGACTCACTTAGCTCCTTCCCTGAGGCTCTTGCTTGCTCTGTCTTAAAGGTGTGTGTGTGTTACATGAATCCCACTTTTCCCTGCCGGGTGGGGGACATCAGATCTCTTCTAGCCAACCATTGCCTAATTGGGGAATCCCATTTTGTAGGTCACAAGTCTAGATGTAGAGTTAGTATCAGTTTGAGGTTAGGGAATGGATATTTCTTTAGAACAACACTGTCCCATAGGAATATAACTCCACTCATATAGGTAATTGAAAATGTTCTAGTATCCACATTAAAGCAGCTAAAGATAAACAAATTAAATTAATTTTAATACATTTCATTTGCTACACTATATCCACAGCATTATAATTTCAACATGTCATCCATTAGTGGGATATTTAAGACCTTCTTGCATTAAGTCATTGAATTCCAGGGAGCACTTTATACTTGAATGCCATCTCTCCTTGTGTTGGCCACATTTCAAAGGCTGAAGCCCCACACGGGACCAGAGCCTGCTGGATTGGGCAGTGTAGCTGCACAGTACAGGCTGTGTCTCAGTACTCACCAAGGGGAATGCAATCCCGATTATTTTATCTGCTCTCGTTTGAGTTCCATTAGGACATGACAGTTAGAATTTCTTGAACAGCTACAATCAATCTTCACCCAGGTGGAGACAGTGAGCCCAGTGCTTTGAAAAAAAACGGCAGACCTAGAGTAATCTAGAAGGGAATGCGTGCCACCGAGACCTGTTTGTATCAGGAAGTCTGCACATTCAATCCTCCTCCTCGTCCCGATTTTATAGAAGAGTAACATGTGATACGGTGAGATTAGGGCTTTTGTTTGTCAGTCACATGAGGGTACTTCTGAAAGTTCACGGAAAAACAGAATTTTAAAAAATGTTTATTTTACTGCAGAAGGATTTTTGCAATATGTGTATAGTTTTTCCAAAATATGCAATTCCATGAACTTTATGAAGACCCCTATTCCCCATACAATTGGATCTAAAAGGGACTTAAGTTTTCCTAACATTAAAGCCTTTGTTCTCCAATTGCTGCTAGAGTCGGGAGAAACGCAGATTTACTGTCTTGGGTCCAGACCCCAGAATCTACCGTGCACCCCACCCCCACCCCGTCACCTCCACCCCACACTCGGACAAATGGTGGCTGGAAGGGCTTCCTGGATTGTAGCTCCTGTCCTCCCTTGCTCTTTCCTTGCTGGTCACTGGAGGTGAGATGCTATATAGAGTTAGACCAAGATTTCCCCCTCTCTCCCTTTACCCTTTTCTGAAGAGGAATCTTGGCTTGAAAATGAACTAGTTCATGCTTTCTAAGAATCTGATAGAAGTGAAATCAGAGAAAATCAGTGGAATCGCTGAATTTAGGGATGTTGGTCACAATGACAGCAAGAAAAAGAGAAGATTGTGTGCTTGAAGAATACAAGTTACATAGTTGTGCTAAACTGGTGGTTTGGGGTAACAATAGAACAAGGTTTGGTTGTATCTTGTCCTTTTTTTTATAAATAATTAAAAAAAAACCCTCTGCGTGTCAGTGTCTCTCTATACAATGTACACAATGTGAACGGCCACATCTTAAATGTTTGGCAGGACATTCATGCTCATGACATCACATGCTGAGAGGACAGGGAGGCCACTGTGGGACTGGCCCCGGGGAGAGGCGGCATCAGTGCTGCCATTGAGATGGCCCCACAAAAGAGTGTGTGACAGCCAGATGTGCAGCTTAATGGAGACTGAACCAGGATTGTGGGTGGAACCTTGGCACATGCTGCTTATGGCTTGAATAGCAGCTCTTGAGGAATCTATAGTTCTCTACCTAACGCAGAAGCTTGGAGCTCAGGCGGGGGGCAGGGAGTGGAGATGGGGGGACTTGTCACTGCCCCACGCCCCATTGTTGAAATGGAAAGCGTGGAAATGTTAAGTTTTTTCTGGAGGATTGTAAAAGGTAAGAATCGCTTACTTTGTACACACAAACAGCATGGCTGTCATGGCGGGGGGAATATGGTTGTGCAGTCTGAGAATCCCTTATATGAAATGCCTGGATTCAAGGCCTTTCAGATTTGGGATTCTTTTCTGCTTTTAAAATATTTGCATATACATAATGAGATATCTTGGGAGGGACACCCAAGCCTGGAAATGAAGCGTGTTTGTCTCATATACACCTTCTACATAAAGCCTGAAGACAGTTTTATACAGGCTTTCAGCGTGCCTGTGTTCGCTCCCCACCCACGAGGTCAGTGTGGAATTTCCCACTCGCATCATCGTGCCAGAGCTCACAAAGTTTTGGCTGTGGAAACGTTTTCGATTTGGGTTTTCTGGCTCATGAGCTCAGGATGCTCAACCTGTGTCTCCCCTTCTCTCATGCTGGGTTGTACACAGTCACGCTTTGCCAGCTGTGACGTGCACGCAGGCCACTGAGGCGGTCTTGTTAAAGGGCAGATTCTCATTCAGCAGGTGTGGGCTGGGGCCCGAGACTGCATTTCTCTCTCTCTCTCTCTTTTTTTTTAAAGATTTATTTATTTATTTGAAAGTCAGAGTTACACAGAGAGAAGGAGAGCAGAGAGAGAGAGAGAGAGAGAGAAAGAGAGAGAGGTCTTCCATCCACTGGTTCATTCTCCAATTGGCCACAACAGCTGGAGTTGCGCCAATCTAAAGCCAGGAGCCGGGAGACTCCTCTCCCACATGGGTGCAGGGGCCCAAGGACTTGGGCCATCCTCCACTGCCCTCCCAGTCCATAATAGAGAGCTGGATCAGAAGTGGAGCAGCCGGGACTCGAACCGGCGTCCATATGGGATGCGGCACTTCAGGTGGCGGCTTTACCCACTACGCCACAGCACTGGCCCCAAGACTGCATTTCTAAAAGGCTCCCAGGGGCTGATGCTTCTGGTGCTTGACTCACGCCTTGAGAAACTGGCTTCTCGTCTTGGTCCTGCTCAAACACAGGGCATCCTTAGGCTCACACCTGTCGCTGAGCGATGCCGCTTCTGGGAGGATCTTGGGAGTGGCATTTTGCCCTTCACAATAATTTGGGCGCCTCACTGGCCCGTCATCCTGTGTAGAATCCTCCTTTTGGCATCCAGGTGTTGTTCCTCATGAAAATACAAGCACCCATGGTCACCTGAATCAATCAGTGCTGGCTCAGGAAAGCTGCTTCTCTTTTCAAGAATTTTCTGAGCCAGTGGATGTCACACTGATAGCTTGATGACAGTCACCGTTGGGTATTGACACCATGGAAACCACCAGACTCTGAAAATCAGGTGTTTTGGCCCCACTCCCAGCTGGTTGTTTAACGTTGACCAGCCTGCTGCTGCCCAGGTC